CCTGCCCCACCACACTCGAAATTGGTGCATGTCAAGACTCCAGTGGGCCCCCTGGGGAGGGATGCCAGGCACCCTGCATCCCCTCTTGCTGGGAGGGGTGCTGCCCTGCAGGCAAGGGCAGTTCACACTGCTCAGCAGGGAGCTCAGTGCCAAGGCTGTGGAGGTGACACCGCTGAGGGTGCAGCAAGCTACCATGGTCAGAGTGCCAGGACCGTCGAACGGTGAGCCAGCTGGTGACAAGGCTGAGGAAAGCAGTGAGGCAAAATGCTTGTGAACCAGGGAGCCGCAGCCTGGTGGGAGGTGCTGGCAGAGACGTGGTGTGGCCATTGTGTTGAACCCTGGCACAGCACCTTGCCGTGGGAGTGTCGGCGAGTGGGATGCCATGGAGGACGGTGGGGAGGCTCAGACCTGCTGCGCTGGGAGCAGACAGCTCCTTTCTTGCCCACAGGGAGAAGCCAGCTCTGTGATGTGTTTGCAGGCGGTCTGTGACCTTGAAGCCATGTGTGCAAAGGGATGGGGCAGGGGGAGAGGCCACTGATGCTGCCAGCCAGGCTGTGCAGCCTCCCTTCCAGCTGAGCAAAGGCTGCCTGCAGCCACCAGCGGTCCTGTGGCACTGTGGGCAGAGCCAGGGCCAGGACCACCTGGGCAGGTTCATCTCAGGAGGCTTCTGGCCTCTGGTCAGGACCTCCTCCTCTCCCCTCCTTTGCTCCCACCGGTCTCTTACCTCCCTTGTCACCCTTCCTTCCCCCCTTGATTTGCCCCTGTCCTCCCCACGGTGACTCCACAGCTGCCCCTGAGTCGTATTGCAGCACCTCCTGCCCTAGTCCTCTGGCTCTCCACCGCAGAGAAGCTCCTCTTCTCTCCCAGCTTCATGGTGGCACCGGCGCAGCCCCCCTCCCCTCCCTGCTCACCACGGAGGTGACAGCTGGAAGGTATGCAAGCCCCATCTGCTTCGTAGTGCTGCCATGGCGTGCTGCCCGCCCACCTGCCTGCGGCACGCTGCCCGCCCGCTGCCCGCTCCCTGCCCCTCTCGGCTGGCCCTGGCTGCCTTCTCTTTAGTTTTGCTTTGCAGCGCTGCGGTCGTGCCGTGAGCGGTGACCTGGGATCCTGGCCGCCGCCGGCCGCACCACCTGTGCCTGGGGACCCATGGGTAAGAGCAGTGACCACTCCCCCCCGTGTTGTGTGTGTCCCCCTCCTCTTGCAGGGCCTTCGTCTACCTGAGCAACCTCCTCTACCCCGTGCCCCTGGTCCACCGCGTGGCCATCGTCAGTGAGAAGGGCGAGGTCAAAGGCTTCCTGCGTGTGGCCGTTCAGGCAATCTCAGGTAGGAGGGGGACCCCCCCCTTCGCATCCCCTGTGTCCCCCCCACCAGCTCACCCCCATCCCTCCTCCAGCGGATGAGGAAGCTCCCGACTATGGCTCCGGAGTGCGGCAGTCGGGGACAGCCAAGATCTCCTTCGATGACCAGCACTTTGAGAAGGTACAGTGGCGGCTGGCTCTTGGTGGGTGCCTGGGGACTGCAGACCCCTGTCTGCCTCGGTGAGGCTTCCCCTGGGGATCTCCGGGCTCCCAGAGGTGCAGGCATCACGCTGAAGGGATCATGTTCTCAGTTCGCAAGGCAGCCCTCTGGCACCCACCGATGCATCCCACGCTTGACTGTGTCCCAGGGTGGGCTGCAGTGGGATGGGAGAGGAGAGCTGAAGGTACCTCAGTGCTCAGGGCGCTGGGGGTCCACCTCAGGGACCACCAGCATCCCTGAGCTCCACTTTTGGTGCAGTTCCAGTCAGAGTCGTGCCCAGCTGTAGGGATGTCTCGCTCGGGGACCTCCCAGGAGGAGCTGCGCATCGTGGAAGGCCAGGGGCAGGTCAGCGACATGGGTCCCTCAGCTGACGAAGTCAACAACAACACCTGCGCAGGTGAGAGGGTGCTGAGCAGTTGGGGAGCAACCCCGTGTCTTGGCACCCAGCTTCCTGTGCCCACCCAAGCTTTAAAAGCCTGCTGTCCCAGTGCGGGGCTGCTGGCAGACACCGAGGGGGGTTGACCCTCATGAGGACCCTTCCCTCCCTGCAGTGACCCCAGAGGACCTTCTTCTAGACAGCCCGGAGAAACCCATGCCAGATGGGCCGCTGGAGGTGGCTCTGGACCACCTGAAGCTGGGCAGCATCTTCACTTTCCGTGTGACAGTCCTGCAAGCCTCCAGCATCTCTGCAGAATACGCAGACATCTTCTGCCAGTTTAAGTGAGCCCCTTGTGCCCTGCCCCCAGCCTCACATCTCCTGCCCTGCTCTGGCCATCACCTCGGAGCTGGTGGTGAACGTCGGGAAGCCCCAGCACCCCCAGCTCGGAGCCCTTCATGGATGGGGAGGCAAAACCCATGGTTGCAGGATGAGCCCATGTGCTTGTCTGGTACCTTGTTTGGTCACTGGCAGAAGGCAGGGGGAAGCTCTCATTGGCTTCAGGGGGGTCCCTGTGACAGTCCAGGGTGTTGGCAGCAGCCCTGGGGGGAGCAGGCTCTTCTGGCCCCTGCCCTCTCTCCCCTCACTGCGCAATCGTGTCCCCATCCTGCAGTCCCTGAGCCACCTCCTTTCCCTTCACAGCTTCATCCATCGCCACGACGAGGCCTTTTCGACAGAGCCCTTGAAGAACACAGGACGGGGGCCACCCCTGGGCTTCTATCACGTCCAAAACGTGTGTACCCCTTCCCTGCCCAGACCCATCACCCCCACAGCTGCCAGGGTCTCCATGGAACCATTGGCCAGATCTTCTGCCCTGGGGAGCAGCTTCCTCCTGGCTTTCCCAGCCCGTCACAGCCACCCAGCTAAGCCAACCTTAAACAAGGTGGATGTGTGGGAGAAAGACCAGAAGCTGCTGCTCTCTGCCAAAAAAGTCTGGGATTTCATGGCAGTGGTCTTGGTGGGGAGAGCATTCCCGAGGCCATGTGGAAGGGGATGAGTGAGGGGCACAGGGGATCGGACAGGCTTGCACCCTCTCTGGTGGTGTTGCTGGCTGCATCCCTTTCCCAACTAAACTGTGCCTTCAACAGCTCTTTCTCTTCCAGATCGCTGTGGAGGTGACCAAGTCCTTCATTGAATACATCAAGAGCCAACCGATCGTATTTGAAGTCTTTGGGCACTACCAGCAGCACCCCTTCCCGCCCCTCTGCAAGGATGTCCTGAGGTGGGTACAGCTGGCTTCCTGCTGGGGACCCAGAGAAAGCAGGAGGCAGGTGTGTGGGGGGGGTGGCCCTGGGGTGGTGGTGGTGTTTGTGGGTCCTTGTGGATGCTTTAACTGAACTGGGTGTCTCTGCAGTCCACTGAGGCCATCCCGGCGCCACTTCCCTCGTGTGATGCCGCTCTCCAAACCAGGTAGGACCTGGCCTCCTGCCGCTCTGCCTGCCCGTGGTCCCCATGAGTGCAAGGTCCACTTTCCCAGGGGGACCAATTAGGACCCCAGGGGCACCACAAAATGTATGGTGGGCCAGAGCACCCAGAAGCCCTTGGCACCCATTCCCGCAGCACCCAGCTGATGCAAAGCCCTGTTCTCACCTCCTGCGGTACGGCAGAGAGGAGCCTACCCACCCTTGGTGGCTCAGATTTCCTCCCAGCTCCACCATGCCACGGGCTACAGGGTCCCCACTGTGCTCTGGCCGCTGAGACCCGAGTTGCTGGGGTTTTTGGCTGACCACTGTGGTTTGCTGTGTGATCCCCACGCTGGCACCGGGGGAGCCTCCCTCTGGCCTTCCCTGAGTGATTCCTGGAGCAGTGCTGCATGGTTTAGGATGTGTCCTTGCCAGAGCTGTGGGATCAGGGTGTGCAGCCCCGGGGTGGGTGAGGCTGGCTGCATCCTGACACCCTTCGCTGCTCTGCGTTGGGCATGGGGGAAGGCATGCTGGTGGTCAGGGAGGTCGCGGGATTGGGGCTGTCCCTCTCCACACTCTATGTGTCTCCCTGCACTTCCTGCCTGCTCTGCCCTTACCCTGCCTGCTGCACGTACCTCACTCCAAATGCCAGTGGTGAGCTCGCCCTTTCAGCTGTCTTTCCGACTCTCTGCAGTGCCTGCAACGAAGCTGAGCACCATGACTCGGCCCAGCGCTGGCCCATGCCAGTGCAAGTATGACCTTATGGTCTTCTTCGAGATCTGTGAGCTGGAGGCCAACGGCGAGTAAGTCCTGCTGGAAAGGGGAGCAGGAAGGAAAGGGAGGCAGCATGGTGATTTGCTCAGCGCTTGGCACTTCTGGGCAGGCTGATGGGGCTCTATGTCACGCCACCATCCTCTCTTCCAGCTACATCCCTGCCGTTGTGGACCACCGTGGAGGCATGCCGTGCCATGGGACCTTCCTCCTCCACCAGGTACTCCCTTCCCGAGGTGCCATCCCGGCTCTGGCTCCTGCCGGGAGCTGTGTTAACTACTGTCTCTTCTTTCTGGCTTCGTGGGTCTCAGGGCATCCAGAGGAGAATCACTGTCACCTTGGTGCACGAGACAGGCAGCCTCATCCGCTGGAAGGAAGTGCGGGAGCTGGTTGTGGGTAAGCTGAGCCAGTCTGGGTGGGCTATGAACCACCCCCAGCTTGCTGAGCTCCTGAGCATCCTCCTCTCAGGCTCTTTCTCACCCACGTTCCCACACGGGGCTTTGTGCCTCGTCTTGCCTCCCACCCTGCTGCTGGGCAGGTGGCACTGGGATGCTGTGTGGGCAGGGTGCCTTGGTCCTGGCCACCGCCTCTGGGAGCTGGTCCAGGACCTCCAGACATGAGTGGCTAAGTGCCAGGCGGCCACTGCCTGTGACAGGGGTGCTGTTGGGGGCTGCAGGCAGGTTGGCCCGTTCCTACCCCTTGTGGGGACCCTCACAGGGCCACTGCCTGTCACCTGAACAGCATCCCCATGCTGCGCTTGCAGGTCGGATTCGGAACACCCCAGAAGCAGACGAGTCTCTCATTGACCCCAACATCCTGTCCCTGAACATCCTTTCCTCTGGGTACATCCACCCCTCCCAGGACGACCGGTGCGTGCCGTTTCTTCTCTTGCTCTTCCCTCGCTGTGGTGAGGGCTGGGGGCAGGGTGTGGGGTGCCCCTTTCTCCCCTGGGGTGCTCTCAGACCCTCTGCAGGGTCCTGCTGACCTGTTGCTGCTTTGGGGTGGGCTTTTCTGGAGCTGCAGAGGGTCTTGGGGTTCAGGGCTGCCAGCCCCCTTCCTACTTCTCCTCCCCGAGGCCTTTCTGCCCCTGGCTTTGGCACTACAGGGAATTTGGGTGAGCATCCTGCTCTTCAGTGCTGGCTGTGACCAACAGCACAGGGAGCTGGTCAGGCTGGTCAGTGCTGGGAGGATGTACTGACCCTGTGGCTGGAGGGGACCTGCCACTAAGGGCTCTTTGTCCCATGTCCCAGCAAACTTGCTGGAAAGACCACTTGATTCCCATGGCCAGTCCGTCTGTGTGGGGGTGATGCAGGAAAGCCATCCCTCATCACTGCCAGGTGATTTTGGGGATGCCTGCCCCTTCATGCCTGTCCCTGGGGACTGGCTGTGTCCCCCCAGGGGTTTGGCAGGGGTATGGGAGCAGCAGGGCTGGAGGTTTTTTTATCTCCAAGATCTTCCTGGCTGGGTCCTGCGGTGGTGATGGGGAGCGGTGAGTGTGGTGGGCAGAGCTCTCCTCTGCACTGGGGCTGCTGCCAAAACCTGAGGGGCTGGAAGAGTCCCTGGCCAGAATGTGTGTGTGTGGGCAGCTGTGGCAAGACGGGGATAGTCGTTGGCAGCGCCAGGAGCAGCGGCCACTGGTCCTGGACTGTACGCGTGGCAGTTTCTGGTGTAGGAGTATCCTGGTGGGGAGTGGGGACAGCTTTTCCCCTCATTTTCTTCGGGGTCACCACTGCCCCAAGGTGGCCTGTCCCAAGGCAGGGTGCTTTTGGTGGGGGTGATGGAGGCCTGGATGGGAGATGCGAGCCTGCAGTGCTCCCAGGGCAGCTCCTGGGCACAGTGAAGCCACAGGTACGCAGTACCTGGGCCACAGACCTGAGTCATGGGGTCGGGTGTTCGTGTGAGTGTCGGACCAGGAGACTTTGGCACAGCCATGGGGACAACAGAGCAAGGCCAGGTGGAGACAGTCAGGCAAGGAGTGCTTGGCCTGGCAAAGCTGTGGTGCTTTTTGCTGGGCTGCTGGGAGCTGGGTGGCCCCTGGGGCTGTGCTCTTGTATGTCGGCTCCTGATATGGCTAGCTGGTCCCGGGTGCAGCCAGATCGGATCTTCAGCATCTCTACTGTAGCCTGGCAGGGGGGACGTGTCTCCTGCTCCTGCCTTTGCCCCCCACAGGTCCTGCAGGGCAATATGACATACCTCAGGGTGGGGGGAGGCTTAGGGTCTGGAGAGAAGCAGGGACATGAGGGGCTTGGCTTTTGCAAGAGCCTGCCTCACCTGCACTATCAGAGGGTCTGTGCCTCAGGGCCAGCCCCGAACTGGGGCCATGGGCCCGCGTGCACACCCTATCCATCCTGTATCCATCCTGCCGAGCATGCCCAGGGCTGGGCAGGGGGAGGAGGGGGCAGCTGGCTTTCCGTGGGATGCCAAGAAGCCCTTGCTGCAACCCCCTCCCCGCTTCCATCCTGCATGCTCTGGCTCCAACAACCTGCAAGGACGGGCAGAGGGAGGGCAGTGAGCAGTGCCAGGGCCCACTGCATCCTCCTCCCCAGCTGCTTGCACTCCCTGCTTCGCTGCCTTATGCCACATAGCCTCCATCACCCAGAGCAGCCCTGGCTCCCCTCCCCAGCCTCCCCAGTCCCCCGGAGCTGCTCAGGAGGAGACCAGGGGAGTGGTACAACTCCCTCCCTGGTACCCATCCATCCCTGCATTGAGTATCCAGGGAGGAGGTGTGGGGGGCAGCACCAAGGGTTTCCCCTCGCTTCTCTCCGCTGCTGCTGCCCATCCAAGCCCACACTAACCATGTGATTGTTTTGTGTTTTCGCAGGCAGTTTCTTGATTCGGATATGCCTAGGTATTATTTGTTTCCATTGGTTTTTTTTCCACCCCCCTTCCTCTCTCCTTTCTCTGCACTTGCCTCGGTGGGCTCACTTCCACCAGAGGCAGCACTTGGACAACCAGTCCCCCATCCCTCCACACAACCCACCCCTCCTCCCTCCCACCCTGGCACCTCTCGCTCACTTGGCCCCTCTTGCTGTTTGTTTGGGCCGCACTCTCGCTGGCTGCCGCTCCCCCTCGCACGCCTGCGTCCCCATCGCCTGATTTGGGTTTTCTTCTCGCTTTTTGACTTCGCTGCTCTCCCATCTCTCTGGCATCCGGGGCCAAGTGTGCCTCCCCATCATCGCCCCAGTCAGACCCCAGTGCTGCTTGGAGTAGCCGCAGGGCTGGTGCGGACTGCGGCAGGGGCTTTGGGGTGTCTCCAGCCCTCACCCAGGTGTCTGGCGATGATGGCACGATCGACCTGCGGGTGTAGGTGCGGCGTACGGGCTGTGTGCGTCTGTACACAGGTGTGGTGGATGTGCATAACCGTATGGGGCACAGACTGTCAATACCCCTGTGTAAAGGGGGGAGCAGCTGTTTGGGGATGGGGGATGTTCAGCAGGGACCACAGGGTGAGCCTGATGTGACACGCGTGGGTGAGAACCGCCCGACCTGGCTGCTCTCACCAGCCCCTAGACCAGCGTGTCACCAAGGCCCTGGAGGAGGGGTCATCCCACCACCAGGGCCTGTGGCAGAAGAGGGGGATGCATCTCTGAAGAACAAGAGGGAATGGCTTTAAATTGCAACAGGGGAGGGTCAGACTGGACATTAGGAAAAGGTTTTTCACAGAAAGAGTGGTCAGAGAGTGGAATAGGCTGCCATGGGAGTGGGAGGAGTCCTCATCCCTGGGTGTGTTTAAGGGTCATTTGGATGAGCTGTGGGGGGATGTGGTGTTGGGGAGAATTTTGTAGAGTCGGGCTGAGGGTTGGACTCGATGATTCCGAGGGTCTTTTCCAACCTGAATAATTCTGTGACCTGGGAGACAGAGGATGGGGTCTCCTGGTGGGCTCTGCAGCTCTGTGCCCATGAGGTTGTCCTCTCTACAGCTGGCCCTGCTCAGAGGTGCCCGAGGGCAGAGCTGTCCCTCCAGTGGCACCCGGAGCACAGGTGGATGGATCTGACGTGGATCCAGCCCTCTGCTGCAGGGGACACGGACACGCTGGCCTTGCCCCTGGGATCTTGGCACAATGATGCTCCCTGTGGACCTGGGGATGGGCCAGGAAATTATTTCCCACTGTGTAGTGGGTGGGAGAGCTGATCCCTGCTCCCGACAAGCACCTGCCTTGGGGGGCTGCGCTGGACAGGAGCTCCTTGCCCTGGGATGGCAGTGAGGGCAGAGTTAAGGGGATGCAGAGCACGTGTGCTCACTTCCCAGCTGCTGGCCTGTGAGAAAGATGGGAGGCAGAGGTTGTTCACCCAAGCAGGTAAACCTCTGCTGCCCTTGCCAAGCTCCTTCTGGGCTCTGATTTGGGGTCCAGCTAGGCAGGAGTTCCTCTAGCCAGCAGTGCTCATATGGGGTGAGTCCCCTTGGGAGGGGCCTCCTTCCTCATGGCCTCACTCCTGTGCCACCCCTGTATGAACGATGCTTTCTGACCTTTTGTTTTTCTGTGTGTGTACGTGTGTGTGTTTGTCCTTGGGTCACCTTCCACTTATAGCATTTCGTTCGGAAATGACACTAGGTATTTCGCGTGCACCTGCTCGGTCTGGTCCCCTCCTGCTTTTCTCTCTTTCTCCTTTGCCTCCTCCCTTTGCTTTTTGCTCTTTCCCCACTACCCTGAGGCTCCTCTTCTCCTCCCTGGGGAGTAGTCTCTTCTCAAGTGACCCATGTCTACAAAGTGATCCTTTGCCTTGGCTCTGTCTCATGTGGGTGTTTTTAATGTATTTTATACACCTTCTGAAAGCGTCGCTCTCCCTTTCCTTCCAATGCGGGGGCAATCACAGCCGAGAGCCTCTCCCCGCTCCTTCTGGCTGCCCCGGCTCTTGTTAAAAGAGCCCCTCAGCTACCTGGATGCTGCTTCGGCGATGTTCTGAAGTGTCCTTGTTGAGACATTGCTAAGCCACAGCTGCCTGAGGATGCTTAGTTGGAATCTGGGGCTGTGGAAGCTCTGGGTGGCTTTGGGGTGTGGGTGTCCCATAACCCTAAGGCTGGCCCAGGAGGGAGCCCAGGAGTGGGTCAGGGGGTGAAAGGGGATCCCCTATGCTCTTGAACCGGAGCTGCCTCCCGCTTCCCTCTGCCTCAGTTGCTTTGACCTAAAGAGGGCAGTTGCCACTCTTGCTCCAGGCAGCTTCGCCATCCTTACAGCACCCCATAGGCACTGGGTGAGTGGGGCTGGGTGTCCCCTGCTCCTTCTTCCAGCATGGGAGCCCTGCAAAACACGGTGAGGGGAGTGAGGAAACCTGGGGGGAATGGGGCTGGCAATCAAGGCAGAGCAGGAGCCTGGGGAGACAGCTCGACAGGGGCCAGCCACCAAATCCTGGTCCCCAGGTCCTGCTGGGGCTCAGGGCTGGCAGACAGGAGCAGGCCTGGGGAAGAGGACGTGGCTGGCGGGGTGCTGCTCTCCCAGGGGTGGGCGGGCAGCAACCCCCAGTGCTGAGCATCCTCCTTCCTTTCCTTTCTGGCTGTTGTCACCTGCAGGGTGACAGCCACTTTTGGTGGGGGCTGGGAGGTGCTGTGTGCCCTGGGCTGGATGGTGGGGACTTGGTCTGGATGTGCTGCGGGGGGCAGCCCCCCACTCTGAGCACGGGGTGGGGCATGCACCCTCCTTTGCCCTCTGCTTTCCCAGCCTGCCCTGCCTTGCCTGCACCCCAGCTAAGCCCCAACTCCTTTCATGGTCCCTCCTCTCCAAAATCCCGGTCTGTTGGCCATTTCAAGGGTGCTGCATCCCCCTCCCACCATGCCTTGTCCCCCTTTGTGTTGAGCCTGTGTCCTATGGAGTGGCTGTCCCCATCTGTCCCTGCCGCGTGTGCATGTCTGTGTGTCCTTGGCAGGCTTGCCGCAGCGCTGCAGGGGGGGACAATGGTATCTCCTTGCTCACTTGCCTGGGGGTCTGGGGGGGTTGTTTTACCAATTCTTCTATTTTTTTTTTGGCAGGACTTTCTACCAGTTTGAGACAGCGTGGGATAGCTCCATGCACAACTCGCTGCTGCTCAACCGTGTCACCCCATACCGGGAGAAAATCTACATCACCCTTTCTGCCTACATCGAGGCAAGGAGCTTAGTTGGGGCCATTATAATGCTAACAAAGTCTGGTATTTCCCCCAGTGCTGGGGTGCAGCCAGTGTGAAGCCCTCCTTAGCTGGCGCTGATGCTAATGGGTGCAGGATTCAACCTGGTGCTTGGGGGCCCTGTGGGACCCCAAGAGTGGGAACTGCTGGGCACCAGGGGTGGGAGAGACCCACTGGGCTGCCAAGCCACAGCCCCTCTTGACGGCTGCCCCCTCCCCTGCTGCAGATGGAGAACTGCACTCAGCCTGCCGTCATCACCAAAGACTTCTGCATGGTTTTCTACTCCCGGGATGCCAAGCTTCCTGCCTCCCGCTCCATCCGCAACCTTTTCGGCAGTGGCAGCCTGCGAGCTTCCGAGAGGTACCGGGATGCTCTGCCTTTCTGGGGGAGCAGAGCCATCATGCATAACTGGAGCCCTTCTGGGGCATTGCAGCAGCCTGGGTGAAATAATGGGAGTGTGGGGATGGGGCAGAGCCGATAATACCTTGTCTCCCTTTGTTCACAGCAACCGTGTGACAGGAGTCTACGAGCTCAGCCTCTGCCGCGTGGCCGATGCTGGCAGCCCAGGTGGGTGCCGTGCCTCTGCCCGGGTGTTCACTATGAGGCTGGGAGGCACAAGCATGGTGTCTGGGGTCGGGGCTGTGCCTCCATCCCCCCTAGCCATGCATCTGTCCCTGCAGGCATGCAGAGGCGACGCCGGCGTGTGCTGGACACCTCCGTAGCCTATGTGCGGGGAGAGGAGAACCTAGCTGGCTGGCGGCCTCGCAGTGACAGCCTCATCCTCGACCATCAGTGGGAGCTGGAGAAACTCAGTCTTCTCCAAGAAGTAAGAGTCTGGGCTAGAAACAGGCTGAGGCTGTGCAATTTGCAGCACAGCCCCTTGTCTTGCCGGTGTTGGTGGGATTCCCCACCCTGGGGGTCTCAGCCCTCCTGGTTGCAGGAGGAGGCAGGAGTGGGGCTGTTCTGCCTGTGCTCTCCTGGGCATCACTGCAGACCCAAAGCTAAAGAGCTGATGGGGTTAATGGGGCCTGGGAAGTGAGATCCCCAAAAGGATTCCTGGGGGAAAGGGCCACCCCTGAGCCTGGCTGCCTGTGCCCAGGTGGAGAAGACAAGGCACTACCTACTCCTGCGTGAGAAGCTGGAGATGACCCAGCGCCTGGGCCTGGAGACCCTGTCCCCTTGCTCCAGTGAGGACTCCGAGTCCCGAAGCACCTCCTGTATCTCCTCCCCGCTCTCTGTCGACGGGGCCCCTGAGGGCCACACCTCTCCCCCTGAAACCCCCAGCGAGAGGCAGAAGGAGCTGGCTGTGAAGGTACCATCCTGCAGTATCCCCAGATCATGGGGATGAAGCTGGGAAGTGGCTCCCACAGGGTGGCAGGGGGTTGTGGCAGGACAAAACCCAAAGGGAGCAGAAGGAGGATGGTGGGGGAAGGTGCCTCCCACCCCACCATCCTCCTTCTCTCTCCACAGTGCTTGCGCCTGCTCACGCACACCTTCAACAGGGAGTACAGCCACAGCCATGTCTGCATTAGTGCCAGTGAGAGCAAGGTACTGCTGCTGCCCTGGGCTCTGCTGGGCTGCAGGGGCCAGGAGGGATGCATGGCTGGGGGGGCTGGCCGGGCAGGGGCCAGATGCGTGCCACGGTGCAAGTGGTCCCTGCTCCTTCTACTTGCCCTGGTGTTCCGGGAGCTGGTGGTTCTCGGGACTGTGCCAAGAGAGGACCCCACTGGCCAGAGGTCTGGCCTCTCCCTGTCTGAGCAGGCACCTGTGCCTGGCTTTGGGTAGAAACTTGAGTCTATACCTCCACTCCTCCACAGCTCTCTGAAATGTCTGTGACCCTGATGAGAGACCCCTCCATGTCAGCTCTTGGGGTCACCACTCTCACCCCCTCCTCAACCTGCCCGTCGCTGGTGGAAGGACGCTACAATGCCATGGAGGTCAGGTAAGAAGGTGGCTGGGAGGTTCGGGTGACACCCCAGCATCCCCCAAGCAGAGCAGCTCTACCACTGGGACATAGTCCTGGTTGATGGGTGTTCCCCAGCTGTCAGCTCTTCCTACATGCCAGTTTCTCCTCCCTCCCCAGACCCCCCCAGGTCTCCTCCAGGGCAGAAAGCCCTGAACTGGAGCCTGTGGTAGGAGAGCAGAAGAAGTCCCCGGCCTGCCGGCCTGAGGAGGAGAAGGAGCCCCAGCGTTTGCTGGTGCCTGACATCCAGGAGATCCGTGTCAGGTAGGAATGGCTGGGACAGGCATCAAGGGGAGGGCCTCGGGGCTGGAGGGACCATGCCCTACCGTTGCCACCTCCTTGTGGTCTGTGTCCCGCCCCGACCTCGTTCCCTTTTGCAGCCCCATCGTCTCCAAAAAGGGCTACTTGCACTTCCTGGAGCCCCACACCAACGGATGGGTGAAACGCTTTGTGGTGGTCCGGCGCCCATATGTCTACATCTACAACTCGGACAAGGACGCAGTCGAGAGGGCCATACTCAACCTTTCCAAGGCCCAGGTGGAGTACAGCGAGGACCAGCAGGCCATGCTCAAGGTAAGGGCACCAGGAGCCAGTCCCATTCTGCGCACTGCCTTGGGTGAGGGACTCAGCCCTGTCTCTCCCCTGGCAGACCCCAAACACGTTTGCGGTGTGCACGGAGCACCGGGGCATCCTGCTCCAGGCAAGCAGTGACAAGGACATGCACGACTGGCTCTACGCCTTCAACCCCCTCCTGGCTGGGTCCATAAGGTACTGGGGACAGCTGGGGGAAGGGGGGGTGCAGGGAAGCTGTGGGTGGTGGGTCTGCGGGCAGCTGAGCGTACTCCCTGCACTGTTCCCAGTGCCCTCCCTGCTGCAGCCCCCCAGCCAGGCATGGGCAGCACCCCCACACATTGCTGTGCCTGGACGGGCTCTCTGCTGGCAAAACTTGGACAGTAATCTTGATTTCAGCTCCTTCTCACTTAAATGCTTCAATCTAGGGTCAGATTCTGGCTGATACAGAGGTGGTGGTGTGCTGAGTTCAAAACAAAATCCATGCCTGACAGCAGGGACACTGATCCTTTGCTGTTTTTGAGAGAATCTGACAAAGTCCTTGAGGCCATCTCAAGTGGCAGGACTAGGAGAATAGGAGTAAATGCACAGAAATTTGTGTGCTCTGGCTCATTAATCCCGTGTCCGTCTAGCTCTGGCTGTATTCAAGCAGCAGCCTGGAGCCAGGACACTGAACCTGGGGGACCACACCTTTACTTTTCCACATCTCTGACACCTTTTTACCCTTGTTCTCCAAATCAGATCCAAGCTGTCCAGAAGGAGAACAGCCCAGATGAGAATCTAACCTGTAAAACACCCTCCGCCTCATTCATCTGCCAACAGGATCAAGATAGCTGATTCTGTCTCAAGATTCCCATGTTAACGTCTGATCTCACACCATCTGCTGCCCCAGCTGATTGCTCCATGGAGGGATCTGTCTTGAGTCACACCTTCACGGGGGAAACTCACTTCCGTTCGTAGCTGCAAAAGCCTGGACCTGCCTGGGCAGGATTTCTTGTTTGTGTGCCATCTTCTGCCTGCCCCCCAATGGGTGACCTTCATGTCACACCATTTTTCATGCTCCAGAAAGGTCCCTGTTGGAGGGGAGAGAGTGAGGAAGGCAGTTTTGGCTAAAAGCTGGTCTTTGATCTACAGAGGTGGGAGTGCAGTAAAGCTTGGAGGTGGGATAGCAGGAGGAATTGCCTCCACGTGAAGGGAAAGTGGTAGTTTAGGTATGGGGATTTCCTAGTTTATTGATGTTTCTGCAAAAGACGGCAGGGTAAGATCAGGTGTTGGTAGTTTAAGATGATATTTATAAAGTATTTATTTCTATTTATTTCACAAAAATCCCATAAGTTGGGTCCTGGCCCTCAGACAATGCCTCCCCCAGGCAGGGGAGAACCTTGGTGGTGGGCTGGGGTCTCAGAGCTGCATTCCCCGGGACATCCTTGGCATGTACCCAGCAGCAGCGGAGCTCTCACCCTTGCTCCCCACCCTTCCCCACCCTCTGCTTTGCTCCCCCTGCAGCTTAAACTACTTCTCCCCTGCATGGTGGCTGGACAGCCCACCATGTCTTCCCAAAGGAGGCAGTTCCTACCTGCTTCATCTACCTCTGGGAGAGGGGAACCCACCGTCTTGGCTGGCTGGGGCACCCACATCCACACGGATGGGTCACCTCTCTTCAGAGCTTGGCCCTGCTGGAGGGAAAAGGAGGGCTCTGGGGATGGCTCTGCCTGTCACCTCGTGCGGGGCTGTCCCTTCCACCCAAAAGCACATGGGCCAGCTCTACTATCCTGTCCTGGGAGCTCTGAGGAATTGTACAGAGGGAGTCCCCCCATCCTAGGGCAGAACGTCAAGGGTCGCATCCCTGCGGGAAGTGTGGAGTTTCAGGTGGCTGCTTCCAAAGCCAGATGGGAGAGTTCCCCAGCAGCCAGGGCTAGGAATGACCACCCCAATCTGCAAGATCCTCATTGCCCTTTCCCAAAAGGGCTGTCACATCCCTTCTCATCCTGACAGGATGACAGGCTTGAAGCAGGTTGGGGTGGCAAGGGAGAGGCTGGCGTGGGGATGTCAGAGTGGAGATGGGGCTTCTTTTTACTGTTGTAGCTGGTGTTTTCTCACTTCTCATCCTTTGCTGCAGAAGCAGGCACCCACCTCCTTCTCACCCTGCCTCCATTGGCACGTTAATCCAGGGGGCTTCCCATGGCAGAGGTGTTTTCACCAAAAAGACCTTCTCCAGCCATCACTGCTTCCCACCTCCCCCAGCAGCAGCTTTCCCTCTTCTTCCGTCTCTCACCCGTGGGGGGATGCTTTTTTTCAGGACTTCCCAAGTGGCTGGCGGCAACTGGCACAGCTCCAGGCAGGAAGACGAGCATCTTCCTCCACGCGTCTCCCAGGCACTCCCCCAGCTTCGCTGTCACGCCTTCATGGCTGACCTTCCCTCGCACAGCACGGCTGCGCCTTGGCTCTGCCGCACCTCCCCGCGCTGTCTGTGGTGTGTGTGTATGGGTGTGTGTGTGTGTGTCGGATGTGGTGCCGTCTTCTCGTTATGCTCATGTTGTGGGGGGCACAGACAGGTAGGGACATGGCAGGCAGGCAGAGGCTTACAGGGTTCCCCTTGCTGTACATCAGGTGCTGTTAAAGCTTGGATTGCAAGTCATGGAAGGGCTTGTGGGATCCTTCCTGAGCCTCTGACAGTTCTGCCCCACCATGCCACAGCTCCTTGGGCATCTCACCCCATTGATTCAGCCCAAAGCTGTGGCAGGGTTCTTCCTCCCAGCTCTGCTCCCTGGGCAGGTGGCAGCTTGCCTGTCCAGGGCAAGCTTCCTCATCAAACTGGGTTCTTTTTCCCCCTGTGATCAATTTTAGAGACCTGGAGGCCAACTCGTGCCATTTATGAAGGCAGAGGTGAGGTGTCTTGCCCTGGGGCACAGATGGGCAGAGCTGTGGCTGGAGTGAAGCAGGGCCCTGGGCTGTGACATCCCAGCTCCTGTGCCCTGGCCAAGGACTAGTTAGTACCATCGCAAATTCCAGTGTAACGGGCTAGGGGTGGAAACACTGGGTGCCTCAGAGGAGAAGGGGGGCTCTTCCAGGGCAGCTTCTGGCAGAGATAGGACCCGTGTCTGCCAGGGACCAGACATGAGTTCACCAGCCACGGCTGGCCAGTGATGCCTGTGCTGCAGGTGAGGGGTGGCCATGGGACGGGCATCCTCCAGCTGGAGCCAAAGCGTGCCTGAGGCCAGCAAACCTGCAGAGCAGATGGCTCAGCTGGGGGCCGCCGTGCTCAGGGCTGCTCACTGGACACCTGCAGCATCCCTGTGGGATGTCCCTATCTCGTGGGCTACCCTTGCTGTCTTACTGGCTCCACTCTCGCCAGCACCGTGTGCTCCCTCCCCGGTCAGGCTCCTTTCCCCTCCACCACCACAGCCTCCTCCGCGATGAGGAACGCAAACCCGATACTTATGCATGACTGTGAGCTCCATCAGAAGGGAAATTTCACAGGGGAACAGTAGTATGGAGGGCCGGTGAGCACCAGCAGGCAGGCCAGGGGCCTGCAGAGGAGGGAGGCTGCCCTTCATGCCCTCTGGTTCCTGCCTTCGATGGCAGCACCCCCAGGCCCTCCCTGCCAGGTGCCTGGGGGTGGGTGCCTCGGGTCCTGGCCGTCTGCACGCACATGAGGCTTGTTTGGTTCTGAAATAAATGTGATATTTAACGCAAACGCTCCCATGCCACTGAGCTCTCCTTCCTGGGGTGGGTGGGTAGGACAGGTGCCCCTAGGCCAGCAGCACAGTGGCCTTGGGGCTGCAGACGAGGCATGAAATTAATGGTCAGAATCCAGTATAACTGCTAAGCAGGAATTCTTTATTAGCAGCACAGGGGTTGCCCTGGGGATTCTCCATTGTAACGGCTCCCCTGAACTCCCCTGAGCAAGGGACATCAGTTTACACACACACAAATCATACACATTCATTAGATTTCCTGGAAAGGGGCGTCTTAGGATAATGAGTTCCCAGGATTCATTTACACAGTCCCAGCATGCCCACTGACAATAGAGTGAGGGGCTTCGGTGGCCGAGGGCAGAAGTACATGGTCTTCTTCATGGTGTCGGTTCTTTCTGGAGCACGAGCTGTAAGTAAGGCCCAGGTGTCTTCTTCCTAAATAGGCGAGATCACCCTCCCTAGATGGTATCTGGGCCCGTTTGTTCAAGTTCCCTTTATCTCACCAAGCGTCCACCCAAGGCTGCTACCAGTGAGTTACATGGGGAGCATTTTACTTTTGTTCAGACAAAGGGGCCGAGGGAAAACAGCTGAGGAGTCATTGGGGAACAAACACATGCAAAACTTTCCTGCATCACAGCTCAACCACAACCTCCCTACCCCGACCCCTCTCAGTAGGCCGTGCCGGCGAGGGGGACCCTGGGAAGGCCTGCCGGGGCCCGCCCGCCCTCACC